GCGCACGGGAACGGGAGCGGCCCGGAGAGCCCGATCGCGCCATGGAGGCGGCAGCGGGCGGCCGCGGCGGCTTTCAGCCTCACCCGGGGCTGCAGAAGACGCTGGAGCAGTTCCACCTGAGCTCCATGAGCTCCCTGGGCGGCCCGGCCGCCTTCTCGGCGCGCTGGGCGCAAGAGGCCTACAAGAAGGAGAGCGCCAAGGATGCGGGCGCGGCCTCGGTGCCGGCTCCCGTGCCTGCGGCCACCGAGCCGCCGCCCGTGCTGCACCTGCCTGCCATCCAGCCGCCGCCGCCGGTGCTGCCCGGGCCCTTCTTCATGCCGTCCGACCGCTCCACCGAGCGCTGCGAGACCGTGCTGGAGGGGGAGACCATCTCGTGCTTCGTGGTGGGCGGTGAGAAGCGCCTGTGCCTGCCGCAGATCCTCAACTCCGTGCTTCGCGACTTCTCACTGCAGCAGATCAACTCGGTGTGCGACGAGCTGCACATCTACTGCTCGCGCTGCACGGCTGACCAGCTGGAGATCCTCAAAGTCATGGGCATCCTGCCCTTCTCCGCGCCCTCGTGCGGGCTCATCACCAAGACGGACGCGGAGCGCCTGTGTAACGCGCTGCTCTACGGTGGCGCCTACCCGCCGCCCTGTAAGAAGGAGCTGGCCGCTAGCCTGGCTCTGGGCCTGGAGCTCAGCGAGCGCAGCGTCCGCGTGTACCACGAGTGCTTCGGCAAGTGCAAGGGGCTGCTGGTGCCCGAGCTGTACAGCAGCCCCAGCGCAGCCTGTATCCAGTGCCTCGATTGCCGCCTCATGTACCCGCCGCACAAGTTCGTGGTGCACTCGCACAAGGCCTTGGAGAACCGGACCTGCCACTGGGGCTTCGACTCCGCCAACTGGCGGGCCTACATCCTGCTGAGCCAGGACTACACGGGCAAGGAGGAGCAGGCCCGCCTCGGCCGCTGCCTGGACGACGTGAAAGAGAAGTTTGACTATGGCAACAAGTACAAGCGGCGGGTGCCCCGGGTGAGTGTCCCCAGGCCTCTGGGCCTAAAGGCTACGCTGGCGGTGGTAGGTCCTTCTAGATGGCTGGGGTCTGGCCGTGCAAGGTGGGACCAGTGCTTTTCACTGACCACATGTTTAAGGGGTTTGTTCTGTTTTGCTGATGACAGCATCGAGGGCCCTGACCCCAGGGAGGTGAAAGTGTCCTGCCTGGTGGGCTCGACCCCAGGCTGAGCCTGAGTGTAGACTCGGACGCCAGGCCTGGTGAGTGGAAAGGCCCTCTTGTGCCCATTGCCCGGAATGCTGGACCTGCTGGGCCTCGTCTGCTCAGGGAGAGGCCAACCCTGAGCTCTAGGAAGTTAGGTCAGCTGGACAGAGGCTTCCAGCCACAGGTCCAGGTCTCTGCAGGGCCCCTGTTGAGCCTGGCTTGGTCCCCAGCGATAGCCTCCTTTGGTTTGCCAGCTTCCCTGTTTTGTGCCTTGAAGTTTTGGAACACAGACACAAAAGTATCCGGGCTGCAGTGGCAGGGGCTGGGACTTGGAGACTCCAGCCCTGTGTTCCATGTGTTCCCTAGACTCCCTTGGCCAGCGGGAAGCCATTCCCAGTGTCTGCCATGTGGGGGTAAGGGCTGGTGGGCCTGGTCAGGGGCCCCAGGCCCTGAGTGTCAGAGTTGCCGCTGATCTGTGATTTGTTCTGGGCTCGCTTGTGCCTTTCCTTCTCTCCATCTCCACCATGCAGAAGGCTGGGTGTGGAGGGTTGCTGCCCGGGCACTGCTGTGTGCACTCAGACTGTAGGATTGCGCCTGGGCATCTTCGGGGTCACCAGATGCTCAAATGGTTCCCTGGGGTCCACAGGAACTTTCTGTTGCATACGTCGCAAATGTTTGTAACTTTTCTTTCAAATATCCAGGCTTATTAAATTGCACACACAGAATGCTGCATTGGCTCAGCTATTCTTGGGAGGCCTAATTAATTCAGCTATTGCATCAAACTTTTTTTCTAAATCTGTGAATAGATGCTGCAGCCCGGTTTTCTCTGGGCGCCCCTCCAGCGGAGTGTCAGAGCTGGGGGGGAGGGGCTGTGAAGAGGGACTGTCGCCTTGGCTCAGTGGGGGCTGTGAGAGGGCTGCGAGTGTGCGTGAACGCCTGTGTGTTCTGTGGGTTTCTGGGTGGCCAGGCCAGCGCCCATGTGCAGCTGCCCGCAACCCCATGGATGGGGAGGCTGCAGAGGAGTCCTGCAGGCTGGTGGCCCTTCGTGTCAGATGGAACTGGCCGTGGGCAGGCCAGGGCGCTCACTGTGCCCATGGGTCCTTTTGGCCTGGCATACCCATACCCTTGCCATGTGTGCAGGGATGAGGCTGGGCTCGGGCAGACCCTGGAGCTGGCTGACTGTGTGGCTGAGGCCTAGTTGCTCATCTCCAGAGTCGGTGTGAGGCGCTTGCCTGAGCAGGGTGTGTCTGTGTTTGTTTTTGTTGACTCTGGGTCATGTGTGTGTTGTGGCCCCTTTGTCCCAGATGCTGCTGAGCAGGATGGCTGCCGTCTTCTCCCTCCCTCGTAGCAGGTCCTACAGTTCTGGGTGCAAGTGTCCTGTGGCCTAAGGGAGGCTGGGTGCTGCTGGGTTAGAAGGCTGGATATTGCCCTGAGCCCAGTCACAGGGATGAGGGCAGACAGGTTCCTCTGCTCAGGTCGTGTTGGCCCTGGCACTGTGCTCTGTGGAGGTCTGGTGCTGTGTTCCCTGCAGGAGAAGTTCCTGAGGGGTGCAGGTGTGAAAGTGTTGGGTGTCAGCTGCAGCAGCCGCCTGGGCCTGGGGGCCTGTTCCTTCACACCCTCTGCGTGCTTTCTTGAGGAGGGCCTAAAAGGCCGTCTCCCCTTGTGGGGTGTCCTATCCTGTGTGGCCTGGCTCTGCCCTCACCCAGGGCCCCTGCATTTGGGGGTGATGGCTGTGCTTGCCTGTGCACACCCGCGGGTGCCACGTGGGAGCCGTGCCAGTGCAGGTGGGTGTGGGCCCTGGCGGCCCGGGAGGAGCGGCCCGGGAGGAGCGGCCCGGGAGGAGCGGCCCGGACGCCTCACTGCTGCTGCCCTTGGCTCCTCCCACTCCCTCTTGCCACAGATTCACAGAATGTGTTTTGATTTCTTCATTTCCTTTGTAGCTTAGTTTAATATTTCTGATCTGAGGAGGAGAACAGGAGGAACAAAGAGTGTGCCGAGCTCTGCAGGGATGAGGCCCCGGCAGATCTGCTGAAGGCGCCTGAGCTGGGTCTCCTGCCGCTGCGGGACAGGCAGGCAGGCGCTTTTCCTGGGTCTCTGATACCCTGGTTACCTTTGCTCTGCTTTATGGCAGCCTGGCTGGGGTCGGGTTGCGTTTCTGGGTTCGGCTGAGGGGCTGGGGTTCCAGGCTTGAGCCTGAAACTCTGTGCAGGTGGCTGTCCCCCAGGCCTTGGCAGGTCAGCAGTACCACCACCATGTGGAGGCTGCCGGCCTTCCTTGGTGGTGTCCCCAGTGTCCTGGGAGGAGAGGAGATGTATGTTGTGTGGTGGCCGCCAGGCCCGGCTTCCTGCAGGTGTAGTTGAGAAGGACAGACAGACCGTCCAGCGCACAGTGAGCCACTCAGAGGAGCCCCTGTGGCTGGCTGAGCCATTGTGACTGGAGCTCCATGGGGTTAGTGTCACATTCCCACTGTACGCCTCCCTGCATTAGGGGCTCTGGCTGCCCTGTCCTGGGTGTTACAGGTGGGGTGAAGGCAGAGGGAAGCTCTGAGCCTTCCCCGTTTGTGGCCTTCTGCCTGGCCCTGTCTCTCTCTTTCTTGGGCTGTCTCAGAAATAAATGTTGGGCTTCATACGCTGTTTTTCTGTCAGCACAGATTGCTGTCTGTCTCAGAGGGATGTGGACAGTGGTGGTGTGAGCTTCTGCTTGCCTTACCGCTGTGGACACAGCTCTGCCAGTAACCGGGGGTGGGGTGGGGTGGGGGGGGGTGGTGATGCCTCCCTCTGGCCATGGCAGGGTCCTCTGCCCGTGGCTTGAGCATCCTCCTGACGAGGAGTGTGCTCCTCCCGGCTGACGGTATGTGTCTCACGGGGCTTGGTTCTGAGGTGTACTCTCCTTGGGGCTGCTGTTCCTGTGGGTGAGTTGACGTGAATCTTCTGGGCGCCTTACGTTGGAGTGTTTTTGTCTGTGCCGCTTGAAGACTTTACTGACCCAGTGCAGGCAGATACCTGCCTAGGTGGTCAGCCTTAGTGAGCACTGAGTCCTAAGGGGGGCTGGGGACAGCTGCCGCTTTCGCATGCAGGGGCTGGATTGGGGTGTGGGACCCAGGAGCCCTCTTAGACTGAGTTGTGCTTTGCTCTTAAGCTGAGGCGGGAGAGCATGGCATGGCTTGGCCTGAGGAGTGGGGACTCCCCTGTCTCTTGCTGCTCTGTGTGCCACCTTGGGGCTGTACTCACCTGGCTGCCCTGGATCTGGGTGGCAGTTCTAGGGGGGTGTCAGCTCTCCCTGGTCCCTTGGCTTTCTTCTTTTTTTTTTTTTTTTTTTTTTTTTTTTTTTATTGGTGGTACGGGGAATCGAGCTCAGTACCTTGCACTTTCCCAGGCAGAAATGGGGGCGCCACCATCCCTGCTTCTGGGCTACATCCCCAGCCTCTGGCTTTCTTTTCAGGAGTGTTTACTACAGTGTTTCCTGCTGGGCTTTCTTGGGGTTCAGTGGTGACTTCTCTAGATGCTTGGCAGAGAAGACAGGGTACTATGTGTGCTAAAGGGTCAGGCTCCTGGACAGGAAGCCCCTGGAGAATGAGGGGCTGTGGGCCTGGTCAGCAGGTCAGGGGCTGTAGAACAGAGGCCAGCAGGGTCTTCTCAAAAGGGGAACAGTGGCTGAGCATGCGTTCAGGTCCAGGTGTGTCCCAGCAGAGGAGAGTGCAGGGCATGGTGTGCATCCTGGCCCTGCCCACTCCTTCTGGTGACCTTGGTCCACCTCTGCAGGGAGCAGAGCCTCAAGTAGGTCGTTGTCCAGGCAGTCTTGTCAGCCCTTCTGTCTGTCTGTCCTGCCAGTTTCCAGAACCCCTCTGGCAGTGGGACTGGGTCCCTTGTCTTCTGGGGCAGCAGGATTGTTGAGTGGCCCTCAGCCTGTCCCCTGCTGCCTCCCTGGCATCCCTTGGGCAGCGTGGCTCTTCTGAGAGTAAGGTCATTGACTGTGGCGTCTTGTTTCTCAACCTCCCTTGCAGCCGGTTTGTGTAATGTCTGTCTGAGATGTCGCGTAAGGGCAGACAGGATGTTGAGCGTGAGGAAGTCTGGGTGAAGTGTGAGCCGAGCTCCGCCCCGGAGCCAGGCGTGGGGGGTGCCCCAGCCCAGGTCTGAGCGCGCCGCCGCCCGCAGGGCCAGGGAGGAGGCGGCGGTTCCGGGGCCTGCTCCCTGGCTGTCTGGCAGGAGGTGTCCGCGGCCGGCGGCCGGACTCTGTGGCAATAATGCATCTCTTTCTAAGGATTGCGAAAGCCAAGGGAGGATTTCTCCACTGGAAGAGTTATGCAAGTTTCAACTGAAATGTTTTTTAAGTTTCTTTGTTTGGAGTCAAAATACAGAGGCCGGAGACCTGGGAGAGCTGCAGGAAAAAGTTCTGCTTCTGGCTGCTGGTTTCCACCTGGGCAGGGGAACGTGGGGCCAGTAGCCAGATGTTGTCCAGATTAGGGTCGCAGGGGTGGGGTGGGGGCCTAGGGTCCTGGCCTGGGGTGCCCTGGCCTTCTGTGTGGGTCGGGTAGGTTTGGTCAGCATCTCCTGCATCCTAGATCGTACCCTGGGGCCCTATGGGCCCTGTATGACTGCCTTGTCTGCAGCAGCCAGCCGGTTCACCCTCCCTCCTCTCTGACCTCTCATAGGCTGGTTCCTCCTGGGCCGGTTTCGGCCCCAGTCACCTTGCTGTGTGTTGAGGTTACCTTGGCTCACCTCAGACAGCACCTGTGTGGCCGGGGGAGGGGTAGTGAGTGATTGCACTTAGTGCTGCTTCTGTGCACGTAGAGAGGTTGGGTGAGGCCTCTGCTTCC